TCTAGATACAAAAGTTCACATTTTCGAAAGGGATATAAAAGGATCTCCTTCTAGCTCCATTCATCTAAGGATATGTCTATTGCTAAGAGACAAAGGCCGCGACTGTTAATGAATAAGATATGCAGGAGAGAGACACATTGAAATCAGAAACAATGGAGTGAAAAACTCATCTAGAAAGGAATTAACCTCAGCACTATCACCACCGTCGTTTCCAGTAACCGGAACTGTTCCTAAACTATTCCCATTTTGCTGCCAGAGTGATATCTTCTTATCATCTCCCGTGCTCGCCACAACTAAATCTGCATCCCAGAAAACATAAGCTCAACACACATTGATGAAGAAAGAGAAGAAATATTCTCCTTCCACTAACATTATCACAGAAACATTAACTAGTACGAAACTTCAAAGACAACGATTTACCAAGCAACATGTTGTTATTGACTAATAAAAACTCCCAAAACTGCGATCTCTAAAGTGCACACCAAATCGACACTGAACTCATTTTGTATAGCAGATCACAGAGTATCTAGAAGATAAAAGTGGAAATGGTAAATCAATTTGCTTTCCTAAGCTCTCACCAACCAAGCAAACCAGGGACGAAATGAGAAGCCAAACAAATCCGGAAAATTGGAGATTACTTACTCGTATGATTCCACTTGACGGAGTTGACAGCACAGCCAGGCGTCGGAGTATAACTCAAAACGCAGGGATCACCGGAATCGGCGGACACGTCGAATAGCTTAACCGTATCTCCGCCGCTCGCCGCCAGAAGGCGCCACGAAGGCTCCACCAAGTTCGACACCATCACTGGCTCACCTACACTCACAGTCACAGTCGCAAATTTTCCCGTGGAAACTCAAATTACTCGATGCATATTACAGAATCTGGACAATGCGGGAACTCTTCTTTTTCTCTCGGTGAACAGTAAAATCAAAAAATTTGAACCCTACGCGTAGAGAGAGAGCTACAAACAGTGAGAAAAAAAAACAAATTATTTTAAAATTAAAGTAAAATTTCGAGTGTTTGTGCAATTGATTATGCCCATTGAACTTTCATTGAATATCTATTATATAAAAGTTGGATTGTGTCTCACAGCTTTAACAAAAAAAAATCTGATATTTTAAATTTTAAATAATAATAAAGACATCTATGAGTCTTGGAATTTATTTCATGTCTTTACTACTGCCAAATTCCTCTTTGATTCATCAGTCAGAATTTCAATTGGATTTTAATGACAAAACTTAAAATCGAGTTTTGAAAATTTCACTGGGATTATACGAGTTTGTAAGTGAAGGAAGTAATTGTGGTCATGGCTATGACTTCAAAATGTGGTGATTTATCTTCAGATATTGGAGAAGATTTGAAAAAAAAAAAGATATTGGAGAAGGAAGGTCGCACGAAAATTCAGTTAAGAGTTTATGAAGGATTAAATGGCTTGATATTATTGGTAGAAAGTGGGTTTGCGTATCTAAATAACCTGAAACATTTTAACGAATTGTGTTCTCTCTAAAATGAGAAAATATAAAAAATGGTAAAGGCGAATGTTGATATCACTATGCATGTTTGTTGCCATTATGATGAATTAATGGTATGGTTTAACCTCATTCTTTTTTTATTGCTTGGGTTACAACTTACAAATGTTATGGGGGAGACGTAATAAAGACAACAAAGAGGAGGTTATAGAGAAAGCAGAGAAGGATTTAGGAGTGAGGGGACAAAAAGTTTTCTCGGGAAAGAATATCAAAAGAGTAATTTTTTAAAACTGTGATGACCATAAATGATCGATAAATTTGTTATGATCGGATGATTTTTCAGTCTGCATAATTTGTAATTGTTTTATCATCTTCTATTCCTCATGAGTGTTAATTGGAGGTTGTTCAGCCGCTCTCATGGGAGACAAGACTTAGGAGTTAGGATCACAATATGATCACATTTTGTACTCATTATCTAAGTATTGTGTTATAACATAATTTAGGCAGTGTGTTATTAAACGATTTCATATTTAGACAGAAATAGAATGTAGTTCCTATAAGGCAATAATTCTTTCTACGCTCGATTCTTGGGGTGCAAAGTTTATGAAAGAACGATTGGTAAGACTAGATCCTTACGTAATTTTAGAAGTTATAGAAAAGTATTTGTACTTTCTTAAATATGATATGGCGATGTGTAGCTTGCATAGATGTAAGTGTTTTTTTTGTGTGTGCTAACTGTTAACATATAAAAAAGTCAGAAAGTTTCCTGCAATTTAAGCTGATAATCTAAATTTTATGTGCATAATATAAAACTTCCAATTAAGTGATCATATAACTTAAGCTAGAAAACATTAATTATTTTCTTTTTAGTTTTTAATATGTGGTTGATTATAACCGAAACTAACTGGAAATTTAGAGTAAAAACTACAGAAAATTTAAAAATGTGTTTACATTATAATAAAAATAAATACGAATAAATAATTTCAATTTATATCAATTCATACATTTTATCAAATGACCACTTCTATATCGAATTAAGTTGTATTTGTTAAGATGTTTTTCATACAAGTAAAATATTCCTAAAGTTTAAATAAAAAATTTATCATATTATACAACACAAATTATAAATTTATAAAGTATACAAGTCTCTGTGTGTATACACGAGTCTTCACTTAGTTATAAAGTAAAGTTTCGCTCTTTTGAAGACTCTGTTTTTTTTTTTTTTGTGTTTCCATAGAAACATGTATTGCCTCCTGAAAATTAATTTTATTAAGTGTGATCATCTAAAAATAACAACCATTGCCGAAGATTTCATTTACTCTTTCACTTCTTTTTCTTCTTGAGTAACGAAACGGATATAGGTTTCGAAATGATTTTCTGAATTAATTTAAATAAATAGGAAAAAAAATTGTTTTGAGCAACAGGAAAAAGTGACATTTGAGGTTTGCAAGTTGAAACACGAGTAGGCTTGAAAAACGAACTATGGAACTCGAAATCTTGAGATTTAAAAGCATATTTTATGTTTAAACAACTGGAAAACTGATATAATCATTACTTTGTATAAATCTTTTAATTAGATTTTCTTCATTAGAATTAGCTTGCTCGAAATTCTTAAAGGTTTAAACTTTAAGATTGAGTTCGATCACACATATTGCATTTTACTCCTGTAATGTTATATTCTTTCTTTTTGTCTACATAACTCACAACTTTGATAATTGATGTATGGGTTGTTTTCCACTTTAATTATTCTTTAGTCTTGAAGTCACTTGACCCCAATATCTAGGAGCCAGTATACCTGTTAACCAATGTTTATATATTTTTCCTAGGGTCTAATTAAACATTTAGAGGCAGGTTAACCAGAGTTTAGACACAAATTTATCTCCGATTAGATACTAATTCTATCGAAAAAATAAAATAAAAAATGATAGGATTCACAATCAAAGACTTCTATGATCTCTCCGCTTACAGATGATATCATTCTTGCTTAGGAACGTCCTTCGATAAGTTAAACCCATAAGTTGTATCATTTCTGCATAAGATAAAAGTTAAACAATAAGATGTTAATTAATCTTTTTAGACGAAATTGGATAAGAATACTCATAGCTATTTGCTATCTGTTCTTTTCTTCTTATTTTTTGTCAACATGTGAGCCATTTCTGTTCATTTGATGTCGGTATATATGTCTTTGTATGTCTGAGGGTGGAATATCAAATTTATCCGCAAAAGTTAATTTGCAAGTGATTTTGATTCTTATATATATATTAATATATCCGAAAAAATATTATACGTCGAATCTTACTAGATTTGGAGAAGATAAATGCAATCAAAATTACAGAGAAGATAGACGTGGAATATGCCTCACTCTTTGCAACCTCTCTTTCTATTTGGAATAAATCAATTTATCATATCTACATTTTTGATATGATTATGGCTTCACTTGACCGTCAAATCTGCAGATATATACTTCGCTAAGATCGGAATTTCCGGTAAAAAATATCAAATATACACAATCCTTTACATGTCAATAAAAAGGAGAGACCAAAATATCAGTATCTTATCTGGTTTAATTATCTATTACAAAGAAATGAACTGGGGTACATGTCGACGAAGAATAAATGGGAAATAGATTCCATATATCATTTCGACCAAATAATTAAAAAACGAATGCGATAATTTAGTAATTTTCTGTAAATTCACTCCCACAAAATGGACTCTTTAATTATTCATCCCTAAATGGAGAGAAGCCTTCATTAGCTATTTTCTATCCTTGTTACTTGTTAGTCTTTACATTTTCTACTCTAAAATGTGATTTGATTTATCTATTGGGATTTTAGATGACCTTTTGTGTTTTTATTTAGAATTATACCTTTTTTTTTTAAACCACATTACCAGCATAACATTTGTCTCCCTATCCAACATTATCCTTATAATAATTATTCAATTTCTTATTTTAAACCAAAAAGTCGACAACAACCCATTTCCTACATAGTTTGAAATTATATTGTTAAAATCAAAGTCTAGTATTCGATATTTGAGGATGTCCATGAATAACCCTTTAGTCCATACTTCAAACTAAAAGATGTTAGAAGAAAAAATAAAGCTACACCTTCAAGAAAAAGTCAATTTGAGTCACATGCATGATCGAATTATTATTTAATTTTAAGAAAATGAAGGAGATAGAGATTGTAGTGTATGTATGTGCCAAAGAGCAATAATCACCACGAGTTTTTTTTTCTTAAAAAAAAAAACTCATTGTTTAAAGTGAAGAAAAGAAGCAGGTAAAGAACTTATCCAAATGACAAAACAGAGAGTGAATTAAGAAGTGTAGAGAAGAGTACAAAAGTAGAAAAAGCAAAGTTTATCCACGGCATCTAAAGAGAAAATACACGTGGCAGAGCGGAGAGAGCTGAAGACGGCGGCAGAGCCACGTGGGGATCACGTGAAGCCATCTTCTTCTCATCAGAAGTTGGTTATATAACAGACCGTTGGGGCGTTAGGGCAAAACCAAAAACCAAAGTCATCATCAATAACTATCATTATCCATTTCTCTTTCTTGTTCTCACTCAACAAATCAATAACATCCTTATTTTTCTCAAGGACTCTACTCTCTCTCTCTCGAAAACTCATTGAAATATATATATTTTTATTTTAAATTACTAACTATATATATCGATCATCAATGGATATCAGGAAAACCAAAGCTGCGGCCTCACCTTCGTCGTCTTCTTCATTTGATCATCTGTTTGGTCCAAAAGGATCAGCCTCTGCTTCTTCTGCATCTTCTTGTTCAACTATACTTGACTCCATTTTCCCTCCTCCAGTAATCTATTATACATATGTGTATATATATATATATGATATGTATATGTATATGTTGACCGTTAGTATGTGCATATAACATCTATATTTCGATGATCTTTCATTTAATGACCTTATATAATAGCACTTTTGTAGCAAATTAAGTCGAAATTTATATGAAAATTGTAGATCAAATACAATACGAATCAAATTCAATTTCGCTGCATACTTTGTGTTCATTTTTTTTTTTTGAAGTAGATAGGCTTTTGTAATAGATAAGGCTTTTCATACCAAGTCATAAAGAATTTTCCTTACTAGCTACACGACAAGTGAGCATAGTAACTATCACATTCATGCATGGATCTTCTTATGGGTGCATATCATGATATACATACATATATATATATAGTGTGGTCTATTAGTTTTTCATTTTCTGTTAAGTTGCTAGTTAATTAATTTGAAGCCATTTGATAATGTAGGTAGCAAGGAAGAAGGGAAATCACACTGCTTCTGAAGTTCAAAGCAACATCTCCCAAACTACTGGTAATATATATTGTAAAATAAATTTCATTTTCCAAAAATATTAGAAAATTATATTATGGATAATAACTTAGCAAACTTCTATAGCAATTTTGTTATAGTTTTTATTATTTTTCTTCTTTGCAAAAGTTAAATTAAATTAATCTTGAAAGAGAGTGTAATATTTCTAAGTTTCAATCAAGTTTAAGTAGTGTATGTATAGAGGCAAGATTTAAGTGCATCAAACGATTGTTGGAAGTCCCAAAAAGATCAACATCAGGCCATTTGTCCATCGTGTTTTTATTTTGGTCTGAAACCAATGTGATTAAAATATTAAAGAACTTTATGAATTTAAAATTTTCATTTTTATTTGGAGAAATATCTAGATCTCTTTTTTTTTGTCAAAAGAGAAATATCTTCATTATCGATATTTCACACTGCTTACTGAAACTAACATTTTTCCACCTACCAAACATACTGTATGAGGGACTTTGATCTATCATATTGAAAAAAAGAGCTACTTCAGTTAAAAAATCACCAATTTTGTTAGTTTCCAACTACTTGTTTTACAGAAATTTCTGAAAAGGTATATATATACGCCTTTTTGTTTCTCTTTTCTTAACGAATGAACTGATGATTTGTGGGTTTCTTTACTTTTGTTTGGTGGGTGTGTTTCCAAAGATGAGAGAAGCAGCCATGAAAAGAGAGAAGCTTCGTATTTCAGCTCCTCCATTTACTACGGAGGCCAGCAACACTATTCACCTCCACGAACCGATGGCTCCTCCGCTTCTCCGTCTCATCACCCCAAAGAAACCGATGATCGCACTGACACAACCCCCTCTGCTTCCAGAGGAAATTGGTGGAAAGGTACTTAATTGTACCTTATTGCTTACTAATCTCTTTTACTTAAAACACTCTCAATTTATCAATAGCTTGTTTCATTATATTGCAGGTTCTTTGTATTACTAAGATCAACCTAATGGTCCACTTGGTTTCCGCAAAGGCCATATATATCGTCTGCATTCACATCCTTAACTACTCTGCTGTGTGATCTTTGGGGTTTTGTTTATATGTTTTTTTCATCTTTTTTTTTTTTGTTTTTTTTTTGTTTTGTTTTTGTAATCCTACATAGTTTAAAGAAATGCGGTTAATGGACCGCATCTACGACTGATGTATCGCACGCACCGAGTAACTAAACAATCACAAGTCACAATCTTAGTAAAAAGTCATATATTTTCATCCTTTTTGATCCAAATATTTATTGAAATGAACATGTAACAATTTAATTAGACTGGTTTTGAAAGAACGCATCTATTGCTCTCTGTCTGCTGCCTCAAGGAAGAGTATAAGCTGCGAGAAAACAAGTAAAAACACTTGATCAGAAGACTAGTTTCATCTGTAAGGAAAGGACTAGTTGAATAGTAGTTTATATTATTATTACCTCCACATTTGTAACCGATAGGACGATCAGCGATGTTGCAGCGTTTAGGAATGGTCATTGAGATCTCTGGCTTTGCTCCAGAGCTCCTAGCTGTCGAAGAAAGCATGACAGCGCATAGGCATTTCGGGTTCTTACCCATTTGTTTCACTCGAACACAGCAAGTTGCAGACACTTTAGCAGACTTGTCTTGTGCAGCCATTGCACAAGGAGCCAGCTTTATGGCTTCTCTATCCGGGGGATTTCTCCCGCATTCTCCAGCTCCATCAACCGCGATTTTAAGGCTGTAGATGCAGAGTACTAGGAGGAAAATGCGAGATAGAGCGCGAGTTTCCATTCTTAAAGTAGACTTGATATGCATATACTACTTGTGGAAACTGAGATTTATAGCAAATGAGATGGCCAAGGGATTTGGCAATATCAAAGAAAATCCACATAGTAGTAGTGGAAGAAGCACTAAAGGAACATAGTAATTACTTCACCTAATCAGTCGCATTAAGGGCCTCAAAGTGCATAGTTATTTTAATCTAAAGTAAGGTTAGCCTGCCCTTAGTCTCTAGCTTAATCATTTGAAACCCTTGAGAAAGCAAAGAGGTGTTGTTACTTGACAAACCAGTATCAAAAACTTCAAAAGTATACAGATCAATGGGTCCTTCAGGTCAAAATACATCTTTTTGCATTCATAAGATCTAGATATGTTAGGTTAGCTTTCGTCAATCCTCAAAGCTATTTAGCATAAATATGTGAGATTACAGAGGAAATCTAAGAAGACTGAAAACTAGAAAAAAAAACTGAAAAAGCTCTAATCCAGATGAGGGACATAGAAAAGTTCTCTCTTTTTGATGTTTGATTCCAAGTAGGGTAAAAAAACCTTCTTTTGCACAGTAACTCTGCTATATCTATATCCAAGAGATCCTAACAATCCAGCATCAGAAAAGCATAATCTAATACCCATTTCCTGGGATCGAATATGTTTGAATCCACCAGTTGATTATTCCATTTAGTTGAGAATATCATGTAGCTCAGACAACTGAAGAAATCAAAGATTTAACAAGAACCATATCTCGGAATCAGCATAGGAATCATTCTGAGTCATATCATAACATCGGAATCACCACGTTTAGTATACAAAACATGTTCCTATTCGCATCAATCATGGAACAAGACCATGTTCTAGCGAGTAAAAGCATAGAGCATAAGAGAAACATAGATGAAAAGTGCAGAAGGGACCAGGATCAGGAGCGGCACAACGGCTGCATAAGTATGGCCACTAGCACCACAACCAAAAGTCCCGAGCTTGATCTGAACAACGTTGATCAAAGCCAACATAAGGAACCCACATCCGCAAACCGAACCCAAACCGGAGATAACCATCCCGAATCTGAGAGCCGTCTTGTTGACGTAATACACCACCGGATCGATCCGGGAGGAGAAGTGAAACGAAGCGGCTATGTTGAGCCTCATGGCTTGCTTGAGACCTAGAGCGATGAGGCTTGAAAATAGGAAGGACGCGAAGGAGTAGACATGGAAGGCGACGAGATTCTCCGCCATACGAGCCGTCGGGTTGCAATTCGGATCGGTTACGAGGCTGTTGGAAGGGTCCGTAGGGTTCCAAGCTAATCCGATGAAGACGGCGAGGGTGAAGAGAGAATTCACGTTGACGATTCCGTCGAGAGCTGTGATGTGAATACTTGTCGTCATTTTCTCCGGCAGATTCGATTCCGCGACCCAGAGATTCGTCGGGAAATAATGAAGGGACAAAAAAAAAAAAAGAAGATTTTCGAAAGAGTAAAAAAGTTTACGCCGTTGCCGGGGATCGAACCCGGGTCACCCGCGTGACAGGCGGGAATACTTACCACTATACTACAACGACTTTTTTGTTAAAGTTTTCATATTTTTAACTAATATTTGTGAATACCAATTTCTTACACGTTACAATATAACTTCGTTTGTGTTGTTTACCAATCAATAAACCGGTATACCAACCAGAACAAATTTGATGAGCATCTTTGTAACGACTACTCCCACTTATGCTAATTTTGATTTTGGATTGCAAATGTAGACACTTTACCATTCGAGAAGATAGAATAAGACAAAAACTACAAGTAAATCAAACAAATCAATCCATGTCAGCATAATAGTACATTCTAGGGATTGAATTTCCATTAGCTCTTAAGAGACAGTGTACTTTGGAGGACCCTTTTGATGGACTGATGTTGAGTCTCTTTTCTTCTCTTCTTCAACTTCTTTGCCAATCACTGCAGCATCTGAATTCTCTGAGGGATTCACGCTTCCTTTCAGTTTCGATTCCATGCCAAGATAATTGTTCAAGACCCTTCTCACTCCAAATCCTCGAGAAGGAAGACCTTTCTCATTGACTTTGATGGTGTTCTTGCTGGAATAAGAAGGTGTTCTCTCTCCTTTTCTGGGGCTAATCATTGGAGGAGCAGACAAAGGAGAGAAACCCGGTGTCGTTGAGAAGCTTGTTCTGTAAGGAGTTCCTGATGCAGATATTAGATAAGGGATCATCGGCACTACTTTCTTGTGAGCTTTAATGCTGGCCGTTGGATTTGACAACAGATTGTTATCATCAGACTGTTTTGTTAAGTCGTCCACATAGAGTAAATCATCGATTCTTGCCACGATGTTTGATGCCAAGCTCTCCAGTGCCCTCGAGTAGCTCTCTAGGATTGATTTCCCAATGTCCTGTAACATTTTAATGTAAGAACAAGCAAAGCCAACCTTGTAATGTGAAGTATTCAGAGAAAATGGATTTTTGGGACCTTGTTCCATTGAATCTTGCTAATGTCTAGAGAAGTCTGAGTTAGAGATGGAAACCGCTGCTTCAAGCAACGTAAGAGAGTTTCTGATCTCTCAACAAGTAAACCCCTTTTGTCACCAGCAGCCACTAGTTCTTTGACCATTTCCCATGATAACTTTGGAGCAGAGCTTGAAGTATTATTATTATTGTTGACTCCAAGTTTTGTCTCAACTCTTCTGCGCCACACATATATCGAAGCTTCCACACGGTTTGCAATATCAAGAGCAACATGCTCAGAGGACAGATCAAGACAATCGAGAAGAGACTCTGCAGAAAACTTCTCAGATGTTATGTACCTGTAGATAACATCCCCAAGGCAGGATCTACCGTTCTGCGACCAAGAGTTTTAATGTGTCAGAACAAAGACTATATATATCTCAGAATGGTTTTATAGGGATGTTTTGAATTTTAAGACAGAAACCTTTGGAAGGGTTTCAAGGTATGATTCGGGAACATCCATTTCGGCTAGAGAAACGCTGTTAATGGCCATTGCAGCTTTAAGTATCTGCGTCGCACACTCCCTCTTGTGATTCAATTCTGTTCTTGCTTCTTCTGTGAGGCCATTAGGTGCTAAACGAGGAACAGGCAACCACCATTTCTCCTCTTGGCGCTGAATCTTTCTGCGGAAAGAAGCTGAGCCATCGTTCTCCGAAGCCACAATCCCTTGATCAACATACCAGAACTCGGTCTTCTTGAAACTCGTCAGTATTTCCTATTTAAAAAGTGAGATTGAAACTTAGATCAATAAAGGTTTCAGATGAGAGGACCATCATGAAAGTAAAAAAAGTTGAGTGAGAGACTCACAAGAAGCATATTGTCTAGTTTACGGAGAGCTGGGAGGTTGATGAAAAGATCAAATCTTGGTCGGCAAGTCATGACCTGAAGATCCACAAATTGATTAATTGCGGATTAAAAATCCAGTAATGTCAGTTGCAAAAATGTTAAAAAAATCAAGAACTTACGTCGAACTTTTTGCCGTCTGGATAAGTTTGCGTTGAAGGTGTTAACTCAACGATGTGATCACTAACACTAAGAAGCCACTCCATTTCCCTTCTCCACATCTCCTTCTTCACGCTTGAAAGCGGCTCTAGTCTCCATAGTTGCCCAAAAATCGTAGCTAAAAGAAGAAACAATTTTAACACTTTAAAGAGAGAGTTTGTGAGATACTTAGACAAACACAAAGATTGGTCCTTTTTGCTTTAATTTACCAAAGAGATTGGTGATGGCGTTGGAGATGGCTAAAGCCGTGCACACGCCTTTACCAGAACCTGACATATCTTCACCAAGTAATAACTTTGCGAATCTCTCCTTCATCATATCGACATCTAATTTCAAAATCAGAGGAGGAAAAAGAAAACACATGAGATCTGAAAGAACTTTTTCGACTTCGAAATTTGAAAATTCGGTCCTACAAAAGTCAAAACAACTAAAATTAAGGTAAAAGAGCTTCTTTTTATACTTTCTTTCTAGGGAAACGAAAACAGATCACTAACCTGAAATATTCACGTCCTTCCCTTGAAACCCAGAATCAGTGAGAAGGGCAGATTTGTTATGGTCTGGTTTGAGATTTTCTTTTGAATTCCTACGAAATGAGGCTTTCCTTATCGGCCAGCCCAGAATCGACTGAGGTGGCGGAGAAGACGAAGCGGCGCCTGAAGAACTCTCGTAGCTCGATTCGCTCGTGCTGCTTCCCTCCTTCGATTCGTCTACCGATTGAGTCAAACCACTTCTTTTCTTCTCAATTCCTGCGCAGCTCTTCACTAAATTCTCCATTTTTTAAAACCAGTTCAAACTTAGAAAAACTGGTTTTTCTTTGCAAGACCCAAAATAATTGATCAAACGGCTATTAAAGGTAAGAACGTGTCTTTCGTGAGACAGAAAAGAATTTCGAAAAATTCAGCCGATAAAAAGTTTTGTTCTCTGTTTCGCTTCCTCTGTCACGAGTATAGAGAGAGAAAGAGTGGTAATAATAATAATATATTTGACTTTTTTTTTCAAAAAATTAAATGATCTTTTTGGCGGACAAATCTCTCGTATGGTGAGCTGTTACGGTTCTGCCCCATTGGGTTAATCAAGAAGTTAAAGAGTATTTTACTACAATTAGCAATTGTGGTTTAGTAGTTTGTATTAATTGTGGGGAAATAATTTGTTATATTAATGAAACAAGAGAAATGCCAAATTGACAAATTAGCTAAAATCTTATTCCTGTGAACGGAATCATTTCTTAAGAAAATTATTGTCTTTTTAACATGTGAAGATTACTACATGCAGAATTGAAAAAAGTGTAATCTAAAAAAAAACTTTAATTGGTGGAGACATTCTTCTTGAAGAGCACCAAAATTTAATGTTATGTAAGCCGCCAATATTAATAAGATTTAGGAGTTGAAAAGGATTAAGTGATTTAATGCAGCGTTTTTTTTTCTTTGTTGTCAGAAAATAATGCAAAATGTAAGAGAGTGGTATTTTCGTAAATATGGATGTTTGTAATATATAGAGTAAAGTGAGGATTTGATTCAAACGCATATGGTCTGGTCCCATATTCGTTTAAGTTCGTAGCCGTTTTAAGGCCTCCCTCAGGTAGGGGTAGGTTAATGACTTGTTAAGTAACATTTTTATTTTAATTAGTAAAATCACTAGTTTATCTGATTCAAACTATTATTTTTGCAAGAAGATTTCATATTCGTCAATATCAGTTTTCTTATTTTTTTGCCAAAAAAAAAACATTTTAACTTAATATAAATAAATGAAAACAACTGCTTTCAATGACTCAATATTCTTAGACCATTGGTAAAAAAAAAATTAAGATAATACCAAAATAGTTGAAATTTTTGAAAAGTATGGTTGATTGATCATCCATTTGAATGAAATACGAACAAAATCAAAACATTCCCGTTGTTTGATCCTAAAACATCACAAATGTTGATAAAGTTTTCTCCATATATATTTTCTTCCGCCATGTCCATCACATCACATCTAATAATTCCAAAATTTGAACTTCAATAGAGCGATACTATTCCTTACTATTAAAATAAAGTGAAAGGTATTATGAAGTTTGGACCTTTTTATAATTAGAATTGTTAACAGCATAAACCATTGTTTTTATATCTAAATTCAAATGACTTATACAGCCTAAATGTATAGTAGGTACAGTACTTTTGTTAAAGTGCCAACAAAAGTTTGACTTTTGGACACAACACTCTTATAAACTATCCTTTTACCAAATGTTTGTATTCTTTACAATTTTTTTAACGTATATCGATTTACATTCTATTTTCTTTATTATGTGTTCCACGTCCCGCCTTCTACGTTCGATCTTGGTTTCAATTCAAATCCTTGTGACCTTGTCTTCGTACTTTATTCTTGAGTAAGTATTGTCTTCATACTTTACTAGATGCTGCCCTTTATACACCTTTTATAGCCTTCATGAATCATGATAGAAATTTTATTATTTTCCTTTCTCTTTTCTTCGTGGTAAAATAGTTTTTGAAATCTTGTTATAATAAGTTTGAACTAAATATACCGAAATTGTATTTTTTGGAACGGTTGATAGGGTGTTTAGAAATGTTGGCGGACACTATCTATCACAATTTCCTTATGAGTCATAAAATATATGATCACATGATAGAGTTAATTACAGAGTAAGCATAGTGTGAACCCGCCATTCCAGAGCATCGTCGAGATCTGTCTCGTATGCATCACATTCAGCCTGTG